TCACAAGAAGAGTTCTACACTCCTCTACTCATAGCAGAATACCTTATGTCACCAGACCTGAAATTTTAGACCTAGGCAACCTAGAACTACGCCGCCTTTGGTCCAATCTAAGTATAGTAAATAAAATTATATATTGCAATGTCCTGCCTGTCAATGAATACTTCAGCTTCAACCATAACAATACTAGAGCACACAATAGATACAAACTCAAGGTAAACCGCACCAAATTTGATTGCAGGAAATACGACTTCAGCAACAGAGTGGTCAATGCCTGGAATACTCTACCTTTCTCTGTGGTTTCTTCCCCAAACTGCAAAAACTTTAATCTTAGACTGTCTACTATTGACCTCACACCTTTCCTAAGAGGTCTATTGGGGGCATGCATAAGCACACCAATGTGCCTACCCTCCCTGTCCTATTATTTTTTTATATGTATCAATTTAACTATGTTTGGACTTATACCTGTTATCTTATAATTACAAAATAAAATAAATAAATTAAATTTTGAACCCAACCAGGTTATAATAAAAATGCAAGCATTTCATCTGACATTCCAAAACAAATTATCAATTTTCTCTCCAATTACTTTATGCACCAATTTAAATGCAAGAAGCCACCAATAATATTAGCTAGTAAGTATAATCATACTGTTGAAATAAACACACTTTTTGAAGTTACAGTTTTTGCAATGCAGGTTTACAGTTCAACTGAAATTGTCAAATTACAGTTTTAAAGTAGCTGATTAAATTCTTTCATTACCACAACAATGATTCATGGTGATTGAAAGCTACTTATTGTGCATATGATACATTCTAACTTTCAAGCATCCTTGAGTAATGGTTAATATAAATGCAAAAGATAACAGATCAGTCTCCCTCAATATGAAATTGAAACATCTAAATGGAAAGCATGATTCAACCTCCCACTTCTTTCAAAATGATAGGAAGGACAAATATATCAAACAGAAAAGGATCAAAACCAAATAAGAGTTAGAAAAAGTCGCTGGGGAAAAGGGAAACATAATTTGCATAATTCCTGGTATTTTCAGTTAATAACTTTGGTTTGTATAACATCATATTATTAGTTGGATCAAGATAGGTTGAGAGTCTGACTCAGAGTAAGATAGTTCATATGTTAGTAGGATTTCAGGACATGTTTTATCTTATATTTCAAAATATATTTCTCTTCCCATTTCTTTATTAGAGAAGTCCACAATTTACAAACTTTTGTTTAACAATCATTCTAAGTTATGGCAGTGCTGAACAAGTGACTTATGACCAGTCCTCACACTTATAACCATCACAGCATCCTCATGTTACACGATCAAAATTTGGGTGTTTGGCAACCAGCATGTATTTATGATGGTTGCAACATTTCCATTTGTGACTTTCCCAGTCAACTTCCAATAAGCAAAGTCAATGGGGGAAGCTGGATTTGATTAACATCTGTGTGATTCATTCAATGACCCCAGTGGTTCTCTTAACAATTCTGGTAAAAAGGTCATAACATCAAGTATAACTCATTTAATAACTGCCTTGCTTAGTTCAGATCAGAACAAAAGTTCTGATCCCAATTGTAAGTCAGGACTACCTATATATATTTTGAAAGAATACAAGAAATAGGTAGTACAAATAAGAAAATGACTTATAGATTGAGAAATATTATCTAGCCCTTGAGAAATGAGTAGATAAATAACAAATGTTAAGTATCATCAAGCTAATATATTTTAATACATCATTGGAAACTTTTAGTAGTATATTTTATATTCATTTTTCTAGTCAAAATCCACAAACCCATTAGCTTTTAACCTAAAAATATGCTTGGTTCATATTGTTTACATCATTGAAAGAATACTATAGTAATGAATAATGCACTCTGTCAATAATATAAATTATACATCAAATTAGAATATCGATTCTAAACCCAAATTTTGGATATGGCAAATTTTACATATAAAATTGCAGTTCCAGAATGGTTTCCAATTAGCATTAAATTATGCCTCAGGCATACTTTTACATACTAACTTTAGTTTTTGTTATTTAACAGAAAACTTTGCTATCAACTGTTGCTTAGCTACACGCAGCAAATAATTCTGCTGAACGCATAGGCTATTAACTGTACCTGACCTCATGATAAGATATTCCAGTTTTAGTCTGTAAGCCTTTGTGATACATTTGAAATTGGGTATGTAATGTTATACAGATGATGCTCTTAAACAGATTGTCTCAGTTGATCTTAGTGATGGTTCAAGAAAACAACTGCCTTTAAGGTGCCTTTGTAATACTTGGTCTGGGATAACTTGTTCAATGTGTGCTTGATGTCTTACTTTTTATTAGCTTCTATGTTCTCAAATAATGGCTAGTTCAAGGGTTTTCAAACTTGGCAAGTTTAAGACTTGTGGACTTCAACTCCCAGAATTCCTGAGCTAACATGACTGGAGGAGGAATTCTGGGAGTTGAGGTCCACAAGGCTTAAAGTTGTCAAGTTTGAAGGCCCCTGGCCTAGTTTAAGCAACCTTTAAAAGTAACTACTTCACTGGTTATTCAGTTCCATATTTGTACATGTGCTTGCCCACGAGCTTTGCACCCTGAACAAAAGCAGGAATAAAACAGAATAAAGAGCAGAGGGCAGATTTACAAAAGATCCAGGATTTCTGATAGCTAGCTCTGGTCAAAAGTCTTGCAGCAGCCATCTTTACCAGCATACCAAACATTCCTCAAGAGCCTTAAAAAGCCTTAGTTTAATTCACTATAATATGATGATAACTACTGTGGATCTACCTTTACTGAAAACAGACACAATTTGTATTCTGGCTGAGATGAATGAAAACAATGAGGTTGCAGCTGAAAATGCAGGACTGCACATCAGCTTTATAGTTGATTTTTCAAAAAGGTAGGTTCTACATTGGTGGCCATTTGGTCCGTGCAGAATTTTCCATTCAAACTGCAGTTATGTTCACTAGGCATGAGAAAATGAATGCAGTAGAATTTCTGCTTTGTAAATAACGCAAGCATGGATATAGCTGTCTTAGTTACAGCTCCTGCACATGAATCTGCTTTTCTATTACAATGTATTTGCTCAGGAGTAGCTACTTCAGAGAACAGGACCACATAACACTGAGGGTTTACCTGTTTGCAAGAGGAATGGGAAAGTATCTGTTGACAGCGCAGTTCCCTCTGTCCACAGAGAGATAATGGCTTTTTTAATGGACAAAATCAGCTTTTTGATATTTTTCATGTCCTATGACCATGATGGTAAACCTATGGCACGCGTGCCAGAAGTGGCACGCAGAGCCATTTCTGCCTGCATGCGAGCCATCCCCTGGAACAGATCCACCGTGCATGGGCCTTCTGCCAGCCGTCAGGTATCTGCCGCGCATGTACAAGGGAGTGAGGGGTGTCACACGCGCATTGCAGTACGGGTGCAGGCACGCACGCGCACGGACACTTTTGGCACGCGACAACGAAAAACCATCACTGCCCTATGACTTTATATCTTCCTATTTCTTCCTGCATGAATATTATGAAGAATATTTTTAAACACATACAGCCTCCTTTCTTCAAAAGTAAAAGCCTTGATGGTCCTCACAATAACATACTTTGTAATTATCTCAACAATAAAATGCTTTAAGCCACTATTGTTCAAAACAAAGATCACAGATCATGTGCAGAAGTTGAAACATCCACAAAGAGAGAAAATAGTATTAGTTGTCCTGGGAATGCGTCAAGGGAATAATTAATAAACTAAATATAACAAAGATGAGATTGAACTCTCATATAAGCTCTCTTGGAGACTCTAAGCATAAATAAATGTTTTGCCCCTATTCTAGGTTATTCTAGGACTCTCAAGATTTACCGGATCCAAGCTGAATAAATTTGGGCAATTTGAAATCATACTTTTCTCTTTAGTGGTCTTTAAGTTTTTTGTACCACAAATCTCTAACCCTACAATGACTGGGCTCATTTTTGGATAACATTTTGTTAAAATCTTATGTTTAGTCCTGTTAATTAGCAAACCTCCTAACATGTGGAAGCACCTGACTCAACCTTGTATAGGCACAAAGCTTACCATTGGGATTGGCTACTACTTGGGTGGAAGGCTCCCAAAGACCATAGGCAAGACTGCGACGTAAACAATAAAATCCCAGAAGACAGTATTAACAAACAGCTGCCATACTGCTACCAATGATTTAATGAGCAGCTGACAGATGTTCCATACATATTTGGTTCCACACAGGACTTCTTCTGAATTATTCCTAAGCACGCTTGGCGATAATAAACAGATGCAAGAAGTCAACATGAGAAGCCTGACTTAAGGACATCTTTACCTTTTGAATTTGTGAAGGCCAATCTTCCCATCTTTTTACTTAAACTCGCTGTGGAATTTTTTTATTTTTTATTTAGAATGTTGATCAAACTGTTATAGGGAAGGGTGTGCTTGCTACAGAAATATATTTCTACAAGATTTGTTTCATAGGAGACAATGGAACAGAAATTGATTTTGCTCAGAGGAGGGTATGGTATTTTTAAGTATGCTCTGTGTCTCTTCTGTCTTATACTGCCTAGTTCAGTTCTTATGTTTTCTGGGCACCGAGCCCAGAATTTTTTAATTCTGTCTGGAGATTGCAGCATTTTCCAGGTTGTGTATCAAGACAGATGGATGCTTTATAAGTTAATGAAAGATAAAATGAAAAACTGTCTCTCTATTACTAGCAATAACCAGCATATTAAAGCCTGTATACCTCTTTTTTATATAAAAAGAGAAAGGGTTTTTTATTATTATTATTACAGCTACTGGGTAACAAAATATATCAAGCTTTGAAATTATTACATTTTTATATCAGTGACATAACTAATAATATTAGAAGAACTATTCTTCAGCTATATAAAAGAAGGAGCAATCAGTATTTTTATTCTTTTAAAAAGCCAAGAGTCTATTGTTTTGTTCTAATCATAGCTTTTAAATACTATTTAACATGACAAAGAAGAATCAGAACTTACCGTGTATTCTGATCCACATTCGGCCGATGGGAATAAAAGAAAAGGAAAAATAATGGCATAAAATTATTTCATTGTTCACATTGCTTTAATTAAAATGCAAAATACACTGCTAATTTTGATGCATGATACAAAGCCCTAAGAATTATATGGGCTGGAACACAATTCAAAGGGGCACTATTTGTAATTGTTCAATAATGAATGGGTAGATAAATTATTGGAAGTTGTGAATTGAACTTGGTGCCATTTTTGCCTAATTTTGCTTTTCAGCTTCCCTGCTCTTAATGAAATATTAAAGTTACAGAACTATTTGAATGTGTGTGTTGTATATATGTGTGTTCATGTATGCACATATACACCAAACAAATGAGAGTTTTTATTTTATCATAAATGCAGGTTATTCAAAATTTTACTGGAAAATCAATTGAATTAATATATCAAGAATACTCCCAGGGTTCCAGTCAGCAAACTGCATAGTAATTCAAGTCAGAGTCAAATGCTGGAGTGTCAAAGCATTGTGAATTTGTGTCAAATGCTATCTTAATAATGACAAATGTGAGTCAGGCATAGTCCTTAGAGCAGGGATATCAAACTCGGGGTCGTCACATTGTCATCATGTGACATATCACAACTTTTTCCTCCTCACTAAAACTGAGGTGGGCTTGGCCAGAGCGTGATGCATCCAGCCCATGGGCTGCGAGTTTGACATTCCTGCCTTAGAGAATTGAAACCACCACTTCATGTCACCATTTAATTAATTAAATTTAAATTATTATAGTTTTGCCCAATAAATTATTCAGTTTTGTATAAATTAAAATTGTTGACAATAATGATATTTGTCTACAAATATATGTGCACTTCTTTGTGATGGAATTTTATGAATTATATCAAAATACTAACTGTACAACACCAAAGGAAGGATAAAAAACTGTGCATGTGTATATGTAAGAGAAACCTTAACCCTGCAGTCTGCCTCAATAAATATAATGGAGGAAACTGAATTTAAAAATATTGCTCCAAAATGTCTTACCAATTCATGATTTTTTTTTACAGCACGCACTTTGGAGGGCAAGGGAAAGATTAAGCTTCCATCATAAATAAGCATGGAGAACATAACAAGTTTGCCTCAAACAACTGCAAAATACTTGTTAGAGAAGTTTATATTTTTGTTAATCCTGTTTCATCTGTGAGAATAGTTGCTTTCTTTTAGGAAAGTAGATATGACAGTTTGGGGTGAAGAACTGGACATGAAAGCTAAAAATGGCACCATATAAGAAAACTAAACTCATGGGACTCGGCAAAAGTCCCTTGAGATTCATCTGTCCCAAAATAATTATTATTTTGATCCCTCTGCAGTAGTCTTTCCTCTGACTGATAACTGTTCTCCAAAGCTCCACTCTCAGGCAGAAGATTTCCATGATATTTCTTCCATTTTTAATTTGTAAACTGGAGAAGTCAATGTGTGTTCTACCACTAGGCTAACGACCCTTTTTCCAGTGGAGGGACCCTTGGAGATGGTGCTGGTGCAACTGGAAATTCTTATGAGATGGACTCCCAAGGATAGTTTCACACAACAATCTAAATGGATGAGAGCAACAGAACCCAGGGAGAACATTTCTGTCCCCGGAGAGTAGTCAAGGCTTCATTGTGGCTTTTGGGGAATGTACACATCTCACAACCCTGGCTTCCCTTCAGGCAGCACAATTCTCCAATTCCCTGTTAGCTCAAAGTTAGAGCATGTTTGCTGTCCTCCTCTGGTGCCAAAGAAACTCTGCGGTGCCTGGAGAAATATGCCCTTGACATTTTACCTCAGATGGCAAAAGTGAGAGCAGGGTTTTTGTTTTTATTTTTTACAAGAACACTGGGTATGCCCTGGACATGTAATGCAATTTTCAGATAGGCATGTGGAGAGAGCAAACTAAGCTCTGGTACCATAAACAATAATTTGTAGCCGTATGACTAATTCGTGTTCAGCTTGCCTCTCCAGTTAGCAAAAGTTCTAATTACGAAGAATGGCAACTTGTCCTTGGATGAACTGAATGAAGCCATGCCTGATCCTTCTAACCCCTACTAAAAAATTTCCCTGGTGCAATACGGCTATTAGGTTAACTATGAGAGAAATCGGCTATAGCAACCAGGTGAATTATAACACATTAAACTTACTTCACAATTTTATGTAGTGCAACATTTAAGCAGCAGCGAAAAAAGTTGGGTAATATGTATCCAGCAAAGACTAGACCAAGAAATAAATATATATACTCCCAAAAATAATGACTCCCAATATATATATATATATATATTGGGAGTCATTATTTTTAAGGGGATTTGGGGGTTTCCTAATCTGTAACTTATAAAAAGTTCGCTTACGAAAGTTGAGGGGAAACGAGCAACGCATGAAACAGCAAAAATGTCCAGAGGACTACTTGTGAATTTGTGTTATGAAAATAACAGTTTTGTGTGGCACTTTTAAGGCTATGAAATGTATTTGAGAATAAGACAGCCTGCTTCAACAACAGGTAACCCTCAACTTACAACTATTTGTTAAGTCACTATTCAAAGTCACAATGGCATTGAAAAAATCTGCAACTGAGATGGGAGCTAGAAGGCAGATTGTCAACTCCAGAATTTTTTTTTTAAAAAAAGAGAAATAATTTTATTACAAACAAGGGAAGGTAAGAATCCTCACACTGAACATATAGTAAAAGAGAGAGAGAGAGAGAGAGAGAGAGAGAAACATAGGTGGTCCTCGATTTACAACTACAGTTGAGGCCAGAATTTCAGCTGCTAAGCAAGGCAGTTGTTAAAGAGTCACATCCAATTTTATGACCTTTTTTGCCATGGTCATTAAGCAAATCACTGCATTTAAGTGTCTCATGTGGTCATTAAGCAAATCTGGCTTCCCCCATTAACTACTTGCCAGAAGCCAGCTGGGAAAGTCATAAATGGCAACTGACATGGTTCCAGAATGCTATCATAAATACATGCTGCTTGCAAAGCACTGACATTTTGATCACATGGTTGTGGGGATGCTGTGATGGTTATAAGTGCGAGGAATGGTTGCAAATCACTTTTTTGAGTGCCACAGTAACTTTGAATGGTTTTAAGTCAAAGATTATCTGTCTATAAGAAAATAACTCAGTCTTGCCTGAGGTAATTCCCCCTTATCTGGCCATCTCAAAAAAATCTCAAATCTTCCTTGGCTCTCAGGGATCAGGTGATTACTACTATGCACAGGAGGCTCCAGTTTCTTGAACCAAAGCAGGAATGAAATCCAAATTTCAGCAACCCAGGAGGCTGTCCAATGGGCCCAAATACAGTTTCTATACCGGGAGTATAGCGGGGAAAGAAGTTAAGAATTGAAATGTGAGCAGATAGTTTTTGGGTGAGGAAAAAAAATCTAATCACATCCATAATCCACAACCCCCACTCTAAAAACTGCTCCTCTTTTACATTTGCATATCTTTTTATATTTGCACAGGATACAGAAAAGAATCGAGTGATGCAAATCAGACATTAGAAAGTCAATCTTCAGAGTCAGCTGGAATCAGTCAGGATTCAACCGGCCTGCTACTATCGTTCCTGTGGTCATTCTTGAACAAAAGAATTCCGCGGGAAGACTTTGGCTAAAGTTACATTCTATTAATTTGTCTAAGTAGAACCGATCATTTCCCATTTCACTGCAGAGGTTAATTAATTCAGCACTGTTGAATATCAACTGTCACTGCCATTATAAAATGACAGTGACAGTTGATGTTTATTGGTGATTGTTTTGCTTAACACTAACCTCCAATCTAATTGTCACTCTGTGTAGACTTTGCATGTCATTTCCCTCTGATTTAACTGCTCACAATTCTAAACCTGAACAAATAATATATGTATACCCAACTGAAAATTAATATGCATTAGATGGAGCGTTTAGTCTCTAAAATATTAAATGGTAATAACATTTTTAATCCAGGATAAAATAGCAGAATCATATAACATCTGAAATAATTAAAACATCTACTTTCTTTACCATCACAAGCCCCTTAAAACATACCTGTAATTGTATATGGGTAGTAGTTCCATGCCTTCTCTGTGACATAAAATATTTTGGGGACAACAGCTCTTGCCCAGCTTGGAAGTTTGCTACAAGAGAAACAAAAATTTGAATCATAAATACAATCTACCCTGTTAATTCCTCTAATGAATAATAATTAATAGATGATATAAGGTTGTATATAAGGATAAAGACAGATTGCAATAGCACTTAGACTTATATATGGCTTCATAGTGCTTTACAGCCCTCTATAAGCGGTTTACAGATATGTAAGCATATGGCCCCCAACAATCTGAGTCCTCATTGACCTCAGAAGGATGGAAGGCTGAGTCAACCTTGAGCTGGTGAGAATTGAACTACTGGCAGAAGGCAGTAAGTTAGCATGCAATACTGTATTGTAAGACCAAAAGCTGTACTGCAGTGTACGACTCTTGATGGTGTCACAGATATATATTTTATGACCACAGCTATTGGTGGCAAATGAATTAAATCATAAATCAATAATAAATAAATAGTTATTTCTGTACTACACACTACAAAACAAAAGCCTCAAATTTCCCATGTTTCTCATTTGCACATTTAGAACTTGGACAGTAGTGTCACAGGAAGAGGTATCTTCCCAACTGGACGTGTTGCAGTGATAAATTGGGAAATCGTTGTCCATACATAGCAGCCTTTTTTTCCCCCACAGTGACAACTGCTCAAAATGTATTTTCGAAGCTTAGTTTTAAACAGCCATAAAGCGGGATTATTTTTCCCAGCGTTACCATTCAGTTAATATAGTTTGAAATGCAAAAGCTCCCTCAAATCAAGCTTGACTCCAGGTGCTGTCAGATCAGTTTTGTAGTTTTCCTGACAATAAGACACAAGTGATTTGGCGCTGCCTTCTCTGGGCCTTTTTTCTTAGCCTACACCTGGGGTGATTGATTTATGATTTATGTATTTATTTTATTTATAAAATGCATTGGCCTCCCATCTTATCACAGGTTAACTCTGGGTGGTTTACAATAATATATATAGGTGAGCCCCAGGCTAACTGTCACAGCCAGGTTTTGGCCCCTTATGAATGGATAGGAGAGATGGGGCCAACCTCACATCGGGGGGTGGCAGGGTGGGGGGGTGGGAAATGTTCCAGAGGGCAGGTGATTCCCTCCCCTACTTAACCCTTTTTCTAACAAGCCAGTTACTTATTATAACAAATATATACTTTAGGCATCAATAATATATTATAATTCAGTAAAGGACCAAAAATAAATATCTTATTAAAATGAAAATGTTCTGATTTTTTTTCAAATATGAGTTGTGTTGCACGTTTTAGAAACTCAACCCCTTGTCTTCATCTAAATAATCACACCAGTGTTCTTACACTACACAATGTTTAGGTGCTGTATAAACCCTGAATAATGAACAACCACAAAAATACAGCCTGGTAGCATTTTTCTGATTAACGATCCAAAATGTTAGCTATGTATTGCAACTAATAACTTTTAAGGTTTACTTTTCTCTCCCAATTCTAAAGTTGTTTTCTTATTATCAAGTGGTGGCTAAATGAGTGATGATACTCCTAACATGGGAAAAAATGCCGTCTGCTTGCATGCTGACGTCAGTATAAATCCTTCTCATATGCTGGTAAGGATCCAGCAGAGAGCAGGGAAGATGATAAAGAGATAGGTGGCAAACCCTACAGGATTTGGATTGTGGTTAGCTTAAACAGAAGATGAATAAGATGAATAAGGTTCGGTTCAAGTATGCCCAAACTCCAGAACAGGGAATTTCACCAAGGCAATGTGAAAAATTGAGGTAGTCAACGAGTTGGGACATGCTTACTAACTGGATGCACAAAAAACTTGGTGGCAGGGCTACTGTGCATGGGGAACATTTTTTTTCATGCATTCACTGAGATAAGAAAAATTAGCAATGTGTTTTCCAAATATAAAAAGTATTTTGGTTGGGCGGGGAGAAAACAGTCATGATTGCCTTTATTGTCAGATGCTGTTATGGAAGTATAATTTTGAGAGGTATCCAGAAGTGCCATTTAGTGTAAAATGCAACAGTGAAGATATTATCCCTTCGGCACTGCTGGTGTCCATATTGAAAAAAAAAGACTTCATTTATTATTTAAACTGATTTATATGATTTTTCAGAATACTGTATCACTTGAGTGTACTGCGGTAACCAGCATATAGAGATCTGGAAAAGCAAGGATATCAGTCATAATACCAAGTACAGAATAATAAATGCTACTGTTTGTTCTGTAACTACCTAGTTGTGAAAACTGGATAATAAAAACACAGATAGAAATTAAATTCCTTCAAATTATGGATATAGAGATTGCTAACGTGCAGAGCTCAGACACCAAAGGGAGAGAGAGAGGGAGAATGAGGGAGAGAGAGCGAGAGAGGGAGAGGGAAAGAGGGAAGGAGAGGGAGGAAAGGGGAGAAGAGGGAGAGAATAGCATCAAGAAATAAATATCATTGGAAATTAAATTTACCAAGCTCAAGCTCTTTTATTTTGGTCATATTACTTATTCAAATCCCTTGAATTAACTATGCTAAGAATGAAGGTGCTAGAAAATGAAACTGGCTAAAACCACACTGGATAGAGACCATCAACAAGATTCTGATTTAAATTTAGAGATATTAAACCAAGTTGTAAACTATCAAAAGCAATGAAGAACAGTATTAAAAGTCATAAATAACTGAAGAAAAAAAAGAGAGCAGGGATGTGCCTCCCGTACAATTAATTCTAGGTCACTTACAATTCTAAAACAATATCAAAACCAGTCCATCATACTGTAGGTATTGGCAGGGCCAAAAACTTCCCAGTAAAATGCTGACAGTCTTATATGGTGTTCATCTCTCTGAAAGCCCTGTAGAAAAGCATGAGGTTTGCTCCTGGTTCTGTGGATGTGACAGGGGAAGGATACTGTAAAATCTCCAGTCAGAGGTGATATTTGCCGGTTCTCCGAACTACTAAAAATTTCTGCTTCTGGTTCTCCAGAACTGGTCAGAGCCTGCTGAATACCACCTCGGGGTTTGCTGCTTTTAAAAATCAGAACAGGTTAAGGGCCATCCAGACCTAGAGGCCTGCTACTCTTCAGTGAGGCACCAAAATTGCCAAGATCATCCTCAAGGATTCCTTACTTCCTTGAGGCAGAGGTATGGGGAGGACTTGACCTCATGCTTTCTTGAGCTAACATATTGGTTAGGCAAGTCCCACTCCGAAGAAAGAGACTTAATGGAAAGGACACAGATGGTTCTAAGCCAGTGATTTCTCAGACACATTTTAAGTTGCTAGCATTTACATTTTAAACCTTACCTGGGTTAGGACCTATCTATCTGAAAGTCCAGTAGTTTTTGTGATACTGAGACAATGCAATGTAGTGGCAATGGTGCTGGATTAGAAAGTGAGAAACTCCCCCAGGCAAACCCAAAGGTGCTTTTTCATGAGGCAACTGGACTTTCTGGTTTTTCTTTTCTTCCCAGAAACTGAAGAAGCTTCTTGGAGGAGAAGCGAAACGTCTTCAAAGAAAAACCAGAAAGTCCAGTTGCCTCCTGAAAAAAGCACATTTGGGACAACCATGACCTGGATGACTGAGAATCTCCGTAGACATCCCTCAGGCAAAACTATTAGCTGGGTGACTACGAGCCACTGGCTCTCAGCCCAACTCACCTCAAAGGATTGTTGTGGGGGGGAAGACAAGAAAGGAAGCATTATGTACACTGCTTTGAACTGTAAAAAATAAAGATGGGATATATCAAATAAATACATACATGAAGATATTCAGATGTTACAAAGAACCTTCAATCAGGGCCTGTTTATTGGGCATATCAGAAAGGGTCTACTTCTGCATGGCTCTCATAGAATGTGTTCTTGATAGAGTTGCATTTGACCCCATCCAGTTTTCTATTCCTGTCATCAAGGTTTTATGGTTAATTGTCACTAGTTTCATCATCACACTTAAATTTTGATTTTGCATCTATATTTTGCATGCTGTGAGTTGCCTTAAGTATTCAGTGCCAATAAAAAGGATGACTATCAATCAGATAAATAATTAGAAATGATCACACAGCAGGATTATGCTGTCCAGGGTGTTTTGGAATCTCTAATTGATTTTTCAAATAAATTGTAGCCAGGTGAGTTTTATAACAACTCACATTTAAGGTAAAGATGAAGATGCCCCCCTGAGTCAAGTCTGACTCCTGATAACCAGACATGTCCATCTAGATTTTAAGGCCACAGTATGGAAGCATTTTGTCACAATCTTCTTCCAGAATCTTTTCTGATTATTCCATCAACTCTATAGCCCTGGAATCCCTCATCCCAGGTTAGACTAGATCCAACTTGGCTCAGCTTCCAAATCCAGACAAGTAGGAGACTGTGATGAACAGACCCCAACATTGTATTCTTCTTCCCTTGATACAAGTACGGGACAAAAAGCCAAAGGTGCTAAATTTTATTTAGACATGTCCCTATTATGCTAAGCCAACCTGTCCCCAATCAGAAGACCTGTAGATACCTTGGGACTGAAATATACCTGGAGAAAACTGGATTGAGAAAGACTTAGCTGAATTAGGCTTTACTGCATCGGTCTCCAAACTTGGCAACTTTAAGACTTGTGGACTGCCTAAACTATTTCCACACTGACCCCCATAGGAAGGTAAATTGATGTATTTAAACAATTCTTCAAAAGGACAAAAGATCCCCTCTACATGCACATGTGACATACCTATGCATAAATGCATTTGTATATGTTTCTGTTTGCGTCTATCTACTGCCTACCGTAAGCCATCCCCATACACACAAACACCTTTCCTGGTCCAAGAATGCAAAATATGTTAATTGAATTAATAATTACTGATTAAGAATTGCTTGCAAAATAGGGAAGCTAATTTGTAAAGTTAATTATCCACCTATACAAACAGTCTTCTCTTTCATGCATTTGTTTTTCAGGACTCTGTAAGTATAAACGTCTGCAGGCTTACTCTATAGCAAGATTCTCTTCAGTCCATGATGGGCAGAGGCAACTGCTATGTTATAGATGGCTCTGTGTAAGCCAGCTTATTATATGGGGCTGTAATGAAAACTG